AACATGTTGGTCTTCCTCTAGAAAAGTATCTCTACCTGTGGTGATATTCTTCAGATAATTCCTATAATATAAATAGCAATTATCTATAATAATAAAAGCATAATATGCAAATCAACTGAATGACCAAACAGCAGAAAAACCGTCCAGATGACCTTCCGGACAACCATGCTATGACACGCATTGGCACCAGACCAGCCAAGGCAGGTGCAATGCGATTGGTCAGGGGGGCCCACCATTGCCCCATGATCACCCTGCAGAGGGAGGCCCAGGCCACCCTCTGCAGGGCAATCGATGGGGGTGTGGGGGTGGGGCTCTGTGATCAATCGCCCCAAAGAGGGAGGCCCAGGTTACCAGCCGGCGGCGAGTGGGCAGGGCCTCCCTCTGCTGGGCGATCGATCGTAGAGTCCTGTGATCAATCACCCCACAAAGGGAGGTCCAGTCCACTGGCCAGTGATGCTGTGGGGGGGGGTGCAGGGCCGGCCAGCGATCACCCCACAGAGGGAGGCCCAGGCCAGCCAAGCGATTGCACCCCATGCCTGTTGCCCGCAGAGGAAGGCAACGAGTGGTGGGGGGAGGGGCAGCGCCACATAGATGGCAAGCAGTGGCAGCAGTGGGGGCAGGGACAGCTGCCAGCAGCCAGGGGAAGGAAAGCCCTGATAGGCCCTGGGGACCCTACCCAAGGCAAGGGGTCCCAGATTGCAAGAGGGTGCAGGCCGGGCTGAGGACACCCCCTCTCCCATGCATGAATTTCATGCACCAGGCCTCTAGTGTATATATATAATTTGCATCTGAAGATGTGGATACCTATATTCCCCACTCCTCTCTTAAATGAGGCTGTTGTAAGACCACATCTGAAGAGATCAGGTGAGGCCTCACGGGCCACCCCAATTTTTTCTCTGATGGAAATGGCAAGCCATTGGTGGGTTCTGAGCAGAGGAGAGACCTGATCTGACTTGGGTGTGGAGACAGGCTTTGGTTGCTGTATTTGAATTGACTGCAGTAGAAATAGCAGAGGTAGAAATAAGGGGAGCAGTGAGACTCTACTGCAGAGATCCTGCAAGAGATGATGGTGATTCGGACCAGGAAGGAGCAGGGACATGGCGACTTGTCTGGATTCTGGTCATGTTTTGAAAGTAGTTGAGCCAAAAGTCTACCCTAATGGATTAGATGTAGAGTATAAAAGAAACCAAGCGGTCAGGATAATCATAAGATTTTTTGGCCTGAGCAACTGGATGGATGGAGTTACCATCCACTGAGATAGGAAAGGGTGTTAGAGCAGCTAGTTTAGGGTGGTAGATGAGGCATTTAGTTGGAGACATGTTAAACTTGAGCTGTCTATTGGCCATCCACATGGACATGACAAGCAGGCAGTTAGACATGCAAGTCTGAACTTTAGGAGCAAGATGGACCCTTAATATATGCCCCTTAATATTTGTAAAAGGCTCAGAGCAATATCAGGCTCCTAGTAAGAAAGTAAACAGTGGTCATGATTAATATAGTTCCTTCTCCTTTTTTGACCATGGCATTTGAATTGCCTGAAGTAACTGCAATGGTCAAATCCTGTTATAAATAGTTACTCTCTGAACTTGCAATTAAGTATTGCCATAACGCAATCTTTTCTTACTTTGGGGGTTTATCACCCTCTTTAATGGTAAATTCCACATTTTTCAAGTGCAAATGAGGTTACTGTGGGGAGGGAATTAAATCCATACTAATAATAGAGGAATATGCAAATTGCCCGGGATGCCATCATGTAATGATCAATCAGGACAGGGGCGGGGCTGCGGCAGAGAGCTCTCAGCACACCTGCACCGGGGGTCTGAAGGGTGCAGAGAGGAAGGGAGAGCAGGTAGGCAGTTAGGGCAATCAGGCAAGGAGGGGAGAGCAGGTAGGCAGTTAGGGCAATCAGGCAAGGAGGGGAGAGCAGATAGGCAGTTAGGGGGATCAGGCCAGGAAAGGAGAGCACATAGGCAGTTAGGGGATCAGGCCAGGAGGGGAGGGCAGTTAGGCAGTTAGGGGCATCAGGCTAGGAGGGGAGAGCAGATAGGCAGTTAGGGGGATAAGACCAGCAGGGGAGAGCAGTTATGACTATCAGGCCGGCAGGGGAGCATTTAGGGCATCACGCAGGCAGGCAGGTGAGCAGTTAGGAGCCAGTGGTTCCAGATTGCGAGAGGGATCCCGGATTGGAGAGGGTACGGGCCGGGCTGAGGGCCCCCCCCCACCCCCGCATGAGTTTTGTGCACTGGGCCTCTAGCTTAAAAATAAAAATTACAGCATATGATGTACACAGACAATCAATGCAATTTTGGAAGATGTCCTTTAAGTACAGAATATTTAGCATTAGAGAAATAATATCGTAAGTATGACAGTTAAGAGAGTAGATTCTAACTTTGAAATTAATTTATACTTCAGCATATCACCTTGAATATCTAATATGTTAAGTCTCAGTTTCCTCATTTGTAAAATTGAGACCTGAAAGAATTGTGAAGAATATTGAATGAGATAAATACAAAGCACTTAGCACAATGCTAGACCCAGTACTTTCTTATAATTCCCAGCTATGATGATGATGATGATAATGGTGATGATGATGATGATCAGCAACTTTACTTTTTATTTACAATTGAATCTAAGACTAAAGATTTTTCTAGGGTTTTTTAATTTACTATGGACTTTTCATTGAATATGTTTCTCAATATACCACTTAAAATTTAGAAAACTTACTCTCCAGACATTATGCCAGTAGAAGGAAAAAGGTATTAGAAGTAGAAGTCAGAGTCTGATCCAACCTGTTATTGGCACTTCCCTTCTCGACTCCAACCTGCACTCCCTGCCCTCACCCCAGTACCTTGCCCATATTGCTAATGAACAAACCGAATGAATTGACTCAAAAGGAAAAATACTAAACTTATCTCTTCTCCCTTATGTTATTTTAATTGTGTATATTTTTGTGTATAAGCATAGTTCTTTGAGGGGGAAACAAAATGCTTTCTATAGAAAAACACATATCCTTTTAGTCTGGTAACTCTGGAAGCAAAAGATGGTTTCCATAGTAAGAAGATGGAAAAGGAGTAGTTTTAATAGAAGAAAGCACAGAACTAATGCACGTTTTAGAATATGCCTAAAACAACACTGTGAACTCTAAGTTATGCTAAATTGGTGAATAGGATAAATAGAAGCCAGCTCCAATGTGACTGCTCAGAATGAAAGTCAATAGTGAAGTCCCAGAAAGCATCTCAGCACAGCAGAAACTCCTGCACTTGTGACACACGGAGGCTTAATTGGTCCTCCTATGGTTTGGAAGAAAGGCTTTGAAAATACTTCTGACCTCATAGAAGAGATTTATAGACATGTAATAGTGCTTTAATCCTTGCATCCTGGTATTGCCAAAGTAAAAGTATTTTGGAGTATATCCAATCCTAATCAGACAATGATTGTCTGACATCCCAACTCTTCTCCAGGCCAATCCTGGATCCCAGTCATTCTTTTTCTAGGCCCTCAATTACCTTTACACAATGTCAAATGGGGTATATTCCCCCCTCACATTAGTTCCATAGTCATTGTATTTTGATAGAATATTTTCTTCCTTCTTATTTCTCTGTGTGTTTGAATTTCTATCATGTTTTTGGGGGCCTAACTAAATGCATCCCTTTTTACTTGTTATAATATAAATTTCTTAAGATCATTTACTCTTGCCGAAACCGGTTTGGCTCAGTGGATAGAGCGTTGGCCTGAGGACTGAAAGGTCCCAGGTTCGATTCCGGTCAAGGGCATGTACCTGGGTTGCGGGCACTTCCCCAGTGGGGGATGTGCAGGAGGCAGCTGATCGATGTTTCTCTCTCACCGATGTTTCTAACTCTCTATCTCTCTCTCCCTTCCTCTCTGTAAAAAAAATCAATAAAATATATTTAAAAAAAAAAAAGATCATTTACTCTTGCTCCAGACTACTCCTCTGACGGTTTACTGTACTTACCTTGCATTTTTCTCCTTTTCCATTCATTTCATAGTTTTGCAACAGAAACTAGTGATATTATTACTAAGTTCTCTATTGAATTAGAAGATACCCACGAAAATCACCATGAAGTAATAAGTTGTATTTTAAAAGTAAGCACACAAGAGCTTAAATATCTATAGGAGTATTGCACCTTTTAAGGAAGTTTTAATGATATTCACATAAGCTTTGAAATTAATTTTAGAACCAGGTAATGATCTTAACAAGAAGCTAATCCTCTTATTGTACCTTAGCTTCAGGTTTTCCCCAGATTAGTATCACTCACGTAATGCATGGCGCCTGGTGCCAAATTTCTTGCAATAGTTTCCACAGTTCACAGCAGTCACTAAGGATTTCCAAACGTATATGGATCATATCCTGAAGACAATTCTATAGGAGAATTACAAAATTGGTTTTGAGTAGCCCTGGCCAGATGGCTCAGTTTGTTGGAGCATTGCTCCATACACCAAAAAAATTGCAGATTTGATCCCAGGTCGGGGGAACATACAGGAGACAACCAATTAATGTTTCTCTCTTACGTCAATGTTTTATTTTTTTTCACCCCCCGTCCCTGTCATCTCTCTCTAGAATCAATAAAAACACATCCTCAGGTGAGGATTAAAAAATAATAAAATAAAGTAAATAATAAAAAATAACAAAATTGCGTTTTTGAGTATTGGCAACATAATTAAAATGTCCACCGTTCCCCAGTACTTTATTTTATTTTTTTATTTTATTTTTTTTTATTGCTAAAAGTATTACAAAGGGTATTGCATATGTGTCCTTTTTCCCCAGTACTTTAAAAGGTAAAAGTCCCTTTTGGATGGGTAAATCTCTTATTTCTGCTAACAAACTGAACTTACTATTTTATAGTCACTTCATAGAAGCCAATTCAAAAGTTCAGTTACTTAAACTATGTTTCAGTACATAATGTGCTTGAAACTTTTAATCTGTATATGTGGAAAATAGGCTCTTGATAATAACAATATGTCTGTCTTATTGTCTCTAGGACTATACTTGATAAGAAGGAACTACTGGAGTTTGCTCAACTTGGCTGTTACTTGGAATATGATCTCTTTGGTAATGAATTCCTTAATTACCAATTGAACCCGGATATTGACATGCCCGATGATAATAAAAGAATTAGAAGGTAAATATGGTTAAATCTCTCATAGTGTTCCTTTTTTATTTTCATATCTGGGTGGGTATTAGCAAAGATTCCGAAATCAGGAAACAGGAAGAACCAGAGACTTGCAGAGAAAAATATCCCAAGGCTGTTTCAGGGAGAAAAGTCTCTATATATTACTGCAAGAAGAAAATGAGTCATCCTAAGTAGGCAAAAGCTTAACAGAGCCTTACACAGTCAGTGCAGATGGGCAGCTGACAAGAAACAGATAACACTCAACACCTGCCATGACAATAAGAGAATAAACCATGTTTTCCTGTTTTTATCTCTCCCGAAGTAGGATGTTTCTTTCCCAGGTTGAACACACTCAAGTCATAACCTCATACAATATATTTTTAAATGCTTTATTAAAAGTAGTCACTAAAGAGTTGGCTGCAACTTAAATGCTATAAGTATGATGTCTACAGACTAAACAGCATATAAAATCTAACCTTTCAAAATGGTCTAACATGCAGTGAAAGCAAAGAACTGTACACGTGGAAAATTTTGAGAGTCAAGGATGAATGGCTACCTGGTTTATCTTAGTTACATGGTGATGTGAACACTGAATGCAGCAAGTTGGGGGACCTGAAAGAAGAGATAGATTTGAGATTGAAAAGGATGACTTTTGTTTGGGAATATCTACGTGTTGCTATCCAGAGGGGCCCTTGGATAAGAGTGTGAAGCTCAGGCTAGAAATTTGAACTGAGGCATAAATATAGACATCATTGGATTGTATGCAATAGTTGGAAGTGTGGGGATGAATAAGATCACTCAGAGAAGAGAATGAGGACAGAGCCCTGGGGAACACACACGTTTAAGGGATGGACTCAGGAACAGACACTCAAGGACAGGTTGAGAAGTTTTCAAAGTGATAAGAATATCAGGAAAATACGTTATTATGGAAGTTGGTGGAGAAGAATGCTGAAAGCAGAAGGGCTTGAATGCGTGTAATAAGAGGCAGATATCAAGTGAGATAAAGACTGAAAAGTATCCACTGGATTTCAGTCAGGAGGTTCTCATTTCACAAATAGTAAGTGCAGCCTTGTTAGAAAAGGCTTGAGGAATAAGCAGGAGGTGAGGAAGAGAGAGGATGTAGGGGTTACTCTTTCAAGAAGCTTGGTACTAAAGGGAAGCCGATGTGTAGGGGTAAAACTTGAAGACAAGACAGATCAAGGAAAGGTTTAGTTAGGAGTTGAACAGTGTTGATGTAGCTGAGAGTGAGAGCAGAGAGACAGAAAGGATGAATCCAGGGAAGTAAGTGGTGCCTGTTCTACAGGGTTGTTATAGAATTTATATGAAATAAAGTATACAACATTTTTAGGTGCAGGGCTGGAGCAGAATATGGAACTGGTCAATTAATGTTCATTTAAACATCTGGAGAGAGAAGAGATACAAAGAAAGGCTCCTAAGGAGACAAATAGATGGGATCTGAGAGGCAAATAAAAAGTTGGTTAAAATGAGGTTTACTTTATCCACTGAAATGAGGGCATGCAAATAATGGGGTGAATACAAATAAATCTTAGTGAGAGGAACAGGAAACTGAGAACATATGGCCCCATATGGTCTCTAGTGTGCTCATGACAGTCATCTTCTGAGAAAGAAGGAGTGGATTCTGGGCAGAACCCTGTAGAAGAGGATGTAGCTGGGGATGGATGTCAAGTGAATGAGAGGGATATGGCTAGGGACAAGAGGTGTTTGAGACCCAGGTGAGGCTAGAGATCATGACTGCATGACCGTATATTGGCACCAATGCACGCATGATTTAGTGATTATTTTCCAAAAAAAAAATGTTTTGTAGTTTGGTAGTGGAACCAGAGAAGCTTTCTGAGTTGAAGCCAAACGAACCAAAAAACATGAACAGTTAGAAAGATTGAGGGTTGGGATTCTATCTAAAAAACGGGAACAAGGGAGGGGTTGAGATGTGGGTCATGAGGTCCAACTTGAAGGAAAGAGAGAAGTGGGTAGATATATAGCAAGGGCAAATAACGGAAAGCTTTAATGAAGTGGGTGAATACATTTAGTAGGAGAGGGTGAGTGAAAACTAGAAAGATGTAACTGGTGGTCAGAGCGAGAAACTGAAGATTTAGATTTCAGAGAGGAAGTAGTTCTCCATGATGACAAGGACCAGACTATGGTTTCAAGTGTAGAAAGCTAGTTAGAATGGAAGTAAGCAAAACTGGAGTAGAGATGTGATGTCCAGAAACTGTGAGGTTCAAAGAACAATAGTAAACATGCACACTGGGGTTGAGGGGAAGATCTTGAGCCAGTGGCCACAGTTGGGACAGGCTTAGCTTCTTCCCCCTGGGCAGTCACCTTTCTATCTGTACACCTTTCTGCTGTCCCCATGTATCAGCACTCTTCCTTGGTGACCTCATTCAGAGTAAAATATGCTTCAAGTTTAGCATCACTCGAGAGAGCTAGTTGATCAGGGTTATACTAGTTATGTAGAGGCTCAGCTCTACATAAGTGAACTGCTTGGGGTCCTGACCAGTGAAGCTACGTCTTTTTTTCTTTTTTTTACTACTCAAACTAATTCTTTGATAAACAGATTTTTTGTTTCATTTTTGTTTATATTGTTTTAATGTTTTTAATTTACTAGCCCAGGAACATTATTCAATACTTGGCAAACAGGTTTCCCTATGCCCTACCAGATCATGCCATACTCAGGTGAATATTCTCTGACATTTAAAATGGGGTGGCATGGTAGGTCTTTATCATCTTTCATGTTTTCAAAACCATGATTTCCTGATGAATATCCTCAACACACATTTTACAAATCATCTTGGAAATAAGAAGTTAGCTCCGAGGACCTGCTTCCTTTTTGGCAGTGAGGTATATCTTTTGCACCCTTATGTCTTCCTTGAGGCTCCTAGACCTTCTGGAATACGACAGGAGATCTGAAGAGGGGGATCTATGAAGGAGATGTGGGGAAGGATGACCAACAGCTCTCCCACTCACTATGCTTCTTAGCATATTTAATATCCTTTCAGCTATTAAATAGAAAACAAGGACTTAATTTTGTCAACTTTCATTGTGCCAAATGTAAACATTCTAGATGTATAAAATACATCAAAAATTATATACACTGAGTGGCCAGATTATTATGACCACCTGACATTTGTAGGAAAATTAGCTATAATTTTGCACTGAAGTTGCTAGAGGGCCAGACCATTATAAATAGGGAAGCAGGTTGTTTACCACAAGAGTAGAAGTGATTTTTTTCTGAAGATATGGGAAAACAACACGATTTAACAGCCTTTGAACGTGGGATATATATATAGTAGAGGCCCGGTGCACAAAAATTTGTGCACTCGGGGGGGTCCCTCAGCCCGGCCTGTGCCCTCTCACAGCCTGGGACCCCTTGGGGGTTGACCACCTGCTGGCTTAGGACTGCTCCCCGGGGGATTGGGCCTAAGCTGGCAGTCAGACATCCCTCTGGCAGCCCGGGAGCCCTTGGGGGATGTCCACTTGCCAGCGGGGAGCAGGCTAAGCTGCAGTCGGATATCCTTAGCGCTGCTGAGGAGGCAGGAGAGGTTCCCACCACCACCACTGTACTGGCAGCTGGCAGCCTGGCTTGTGGCTGAGCAGAGCTCCCCGTGTGGTAGCGCACTGATCACCAGGGGGCAGCTCCTGCATTGAGCGTCTGGCCCCTGGTGGTCAGTGTGTGTCATAGTTACCAGTCATTCCCAGTCATTCTGCTGTTAGGGTCAATTTGGATATTACCCTTTTATTATATAGGATAGAGGCCTGGTGCACCAGTGGGGGCCAGCTGGTTTGCCCTGAAGGGTGTCCGGGATCAGGGTGGGGGTCCCGCTGGGGTGCCTGGCCAGCCTGGGTGAGGGGCTGATGGGTGTTTGCAGGCTGGTCACACCCCCTTCAGGGTGGGGGTCCCCACTGGGATGCCTGGCCAGTCTGGGTGAGGGGCTGAGGGCCATTTTCAGGCTGGCCAAGCCCCCCCGGCGACAGAAGCTCCCAGCCTCTCCTTTTTTTCTTTTTTCTTTTTTATTCTGGGATTTATTTACCTTCTATAATTGAAACTTTGTAGCCTTGAGAGGAGCTCAGAGCTGGCCAGGACGGGCAGGCGGGAAGCTTGGCTTCCTCCATCACCAGGGGCAACCCAAGCCTCCTGCTCGCTCCAGCTCCGTGGCCACAGCTGGCTGAAAGCAGGTATCTGGGGTTTATTTACCCTTTATAATTGAAACTTTGTTGCTTTGAGTGGAGCTCAGAGCTGGCCGCAGCAGGCGGGAAGCTTGGCTTCCTCCATCATTGGGGCAACCAAGCCTCCTGCTTGCTCCAGCTCTGTGGCTGCCAGCTGCCATCTTGGTTGGGTTAATTTGCATATAGTCACTCTGATTGGCTGGTGGGCGTAGCTTAAGGCATAGCGAAGGTACAGTCATTTTGCATGTTTGTCTTTTATTAATGTAGATATATATATATATATATATATATATATATATATATATATATATAATGTGTGTATTGTGTTTATGTATCTCTATGTATATGTGTGTGTATGTATACTTAATCTCCCTCAAATTAAAACCATGCATTCGGTCACTGACTCAAGTAGAGCCCGCAGTAATGACTGAATGAACTGTTGGATTGTGTGCCCAAGTACCCTTGTCCCCCACCTTTTCAGCACTTGTTTTTCATCACTCATTGGCAGTATTTTCTGAGCCCTAGTAGTTGTAAAGCTCTGAAATGCAAGAACAGAGAAGTATGCTTTTGCTACCTCTGGTTTTCAGCACCAGAAATTCTGTGTCTAACACCTGTTTTCAATCTTCTGCTCCATTTCTCAAATCTTATTATATCTCTGCCTTTTCACACTTTGTAGTCTCTCTCTAATATTTGTTTTCAAAACACTAACTCATTTGTATTTCTATAATTACTGTGATTTTTTTTTGTCTTCTCATCTGTAGTGGTTCATTCCTCTTAGCGGCTTTGCTAGAACTACTGTTCTTCCATACAGTGGTACTGCGTGAGAGATGATCTCATTTTAGGAGTGACCAGGCAGTTTTCTTGATGGGATATAATTATGTTTCTAGAGCCATAACATTATCTCCCTCATGAGATAACTAGTCTCCAGATCCTTGACTTAATGAGTTCTAAGGGTTCCCATTTTCAAATAAGTATCTTATCCACTGTGTTCTTTCCTTACTACTACACAATTCATTAAGTTTGTGTTGTTGACACAAGAATATTACACAAGGCCTCTTACAGAATTTTGCTTATTCATATATATATGCCTCTATAGTAATGAGATACTTTTTTTTTCCTCAAAGACAGATGAAAAGTTGGGGAAAGCAAACTCTAAAATTTCCTGTAGTGTGATACTCCTTTTCATTTGTGGATCAAGGATTGTCACACTAAGTTTCAGCATTACATATTGTTTCTGTCATATCTTTCTCTTTTTCATAAATGATCGATAACTCTCTTAGATACTTCCCTCAAAGGGAGTTTGTTCCAAAAGTAACTTCAGAACTTTTGGACATTACACAAATCTTAAAGAGGCAAAGAACTGTGATGGCACAGTTAGCATTCCATGTACTTACAGGACACACATGGGTACACGTGATGACATGGGGTACACGTGACGTGAATACAGAGTTCTAGACAAAATATCCAAGTTGGCTCCTCTTTTCTGGCACTTGTATCCCTTTGACCTGCAAACACAAGACCTAGTTTTCCACTGTAATTTATTTTTAAATGTATGTTTTCAGAGGGCAGGGTTTTGTGCTTGAGTTTTTGTGTAGTGCCCCACGTTTTGCTTCCTGTAGTAGTTGTTAAATATGACCCGTGCACTGGAATGCCAAGAAGTGCTTTTGAAATAAAAAGAACACCTTGATCCACTTGGGAATCTAGAGACTGACGGTACTATATAGCAAATGCCAGAGAAGAGACACTGTCTCCAAGTTACATCTGTCATCAGGGACCCATGCAAGTCACGACACACACCGCCCAGAGTCCAGACACGTACAGATGGTGCTGTCAGGAGGTGACTCATGCTACGGGTTACAGCATGAGATGTTTAGACAATAGCCAGGAAGCCCTTCTTTAGTCAACTAACTGTAAATTTAAAGGAATGGCTCATTATTTATTGCAATTTTGTTGAAATGGAAAGAAGGAAGAGTAAATTTTTATTGATCAATTTAACCCAGTGCTCCAAGACTAAGTCAAAATTCTCATAGATTTCAAAGGGACAAATGCTCCAAATATAGGCGTACCATTGCTGACCTTTAAAAAAGGACTGAATAGCACAGCCGTCATGGCTCAGTGCTTGAGTGTGGGCATATGAACCAGGAGCTCATGGTTTGATTCCAGGCCAGAGCACATGCCTGGGTTTCAGGCTCCATCTCCAGTAGGGAGTGTGCAGGAGGCAGCCAATCAATGAGTCTCTCTCATCATTGATGTTCCTCTCTCTCCCTCTCCCTTCCTCTCTTAAATCAATAAAAATATATTTTTTAAAAAAGGACTGTCTAGCCATCATATGCCCTTCACTTCCAAGCCAGCTGATTTTACTCTCAGAATGTTTTACTTGTATGAAGATTCCTTTTGTTCCCTTATTTAATCACAAATGGTCATTGATGTTGTTTGCTAGAAAAAAAGGAGAGAGACTGAGATCTGAAAAACAGGCCCACCGAGAGAGGCATTTTTAGAGTGGAGAACCAGCCACAGATGCAGAACAAAGTTATTTAGTGAAATGCTAAAGTGGCCATTCACTCAAACTCGCACCTCCTGTTAGAAGCTATCTTTAATGCAGTATTGCCAGACATTGTCCTAAATATCAAAGGCTGGAAATTTCTGTGTTCATGGAATAAGGATCATGTTCCTACCAAAATGCAGCAGTATCTTTATCATCACCACGCAGGTCTCCCAGGACAGATGCCATCGTGGAAGGTGGGATCTCTATAAGCACAGTAGGTTTCTAAGTAAAAGTTTAAAGCACCCTGAACATTTGTAAATGTGAGACAAATGATGTAATGCGTTAACATTTTTCACAGGGTGCGCCTTCTGGTGGATGAAGGCTACGAAGACCGAATTCTGATGGCCCATGACATACACACAAAGCATCGGCTGATGAAATATGGAGGCCACGGCTATTCTCATATACTCACCAACATTGTTCCTAAAATGTTGCTTAGAGGTATCAACAAGAATGCACTTGATAAGATACTAATAGAGAACCCTCAGCAATGGCTAACTTTCCAATAAGGTGGTCATAAATTCACACCTTGAATATAAAGCTTACAGAGAACATTCAGTGATCTCAAACCGACTCAGATGTTAATTAATCAGAGCTATATAGAACTAATAATGGGTCATTACCTTTTTGTGAGAATTAGAAGCGTTTTGCCTTCTCAGAAACTGGCTATTACATCTGCACCTTTAAGGAGTCCTTGAGCCTCATTGAGCCCTAGTACTTTGCCTTAACAAATAATCACAGAAGCACCTGCTTCCAAACAATGAGTTACAGTCTAAATCCCTTTAGTGAAGTCTTGTTTTGTTTTCTTAATCTATCAGCTGCCCTTCTTGAGAATTTAAAGTGTTTTGAGTTAAATTACCCCCTTCTGGAGCAATCCAATGTTTCTTGTAATATTGATGATCCTACTAATTATCCTGCTGTTCTTTAATTAATGCCTAATGAGTAAGATGGCACTTTAAAATAGCTTCTTCAGCAAGAGAAGTGAAGTTTTGAGATTTTTTTTCAATAGATACTGTAAGACAATTACCAATTTACAATGGTAAAAATATTGTGGAAGGATAATTATATGCCGTCTACCTATCTGTATATACTTACCATAAATCAATTGTGCTGCCTGTGCCTTTCTGGCATCCATTTTTGCTATAAATTTTTGTTGTGCTTTGAAAAATTTGTATAAGGGGGCATGAACACATAACATAATACTGAATTACAAAAATTCAATCATAAAAGTCAGAATATATTACATAATATACTTTAATGAATCATTACATTTATAATAACAAAGGCCACAATTTAATCAATTAATCATGTGTAATGCAAAAAAAGAGAAATGTTTGCCATATATGTATATATATATATATAGTCCCTTTATTTTCTATACCTTTTCTTTGTTTTTCCTTGGGCCTAACTAGAGAAAATAATGCTTATTTTTCTGAAGAAAAGGTCAGGTCTATTAGAAATGACAATCTGATGCTACAGCCAACTCTCTAAAAGGTATCAGCCTTGGCACCCTCCTTGGAGCATGCCCATGACCTTCTCTCAGGCACGTACTATTTTTTAAAACTTGAAAGGTCCCCATGAGACTTGCAACCAGGTGAGCAGTGGTCAGCGGCAGCTCGTCCCCAGCTCACCCCCTGAACCTGTCTCCAAGTCTCCCTTTTCTCTGACTTTTAAGTGAGCGAAAGCAGCCCTGCCCAGGTTCTTCTGTTGCTTTTTCTACCCTAAGCCCTTCCTTTGTTTCCTTTATTTCAGCTTTAATATGTACTCTCAAGCTAAATAAATAAATAAATACATACATAAATAAATACATAAATATAATAAAAATAAAAGGTATCCAGCCCTGATGGTTTGTGTAAATAAAGCCTTTAAAAAACTCAGTTAAAACTCTTAGTGGATGTGCACTGCTTTTTATAAGTTGATCTTTTGGTTGAATTCTCTGTTTGCTGTTACCTAAAAATAAAACAAAAATTCTACAAACCCTGTTGCCAATTCTTTGATAATTACATGTTGTTAAATAGAAATAAAATTCATTGCAACTCCTTTCTGAGTTATCTTATATATCAGGATGGTCAAATGGAACTAATCATTATTCTTAGTGAATGGGCTAAGTGTTTTTAATCATATAATCATGACAGTTACTCAGACTAAGGCATTTAAACCAAGCAAACAGTACCTTCAGATGGAAACACCATGCATAGCTCTTTTGGAAAGGTGAGGTTTGCTAAATAAAAGATATTTCTGCAGATCAAAGATGATCAAGCTTTCTGTGTGTTAGACCATAAAGTACCCAAGAGGAAAGAGCCAGGAGAACAAACTAATTCCTTTAAGTGAAAAAAACATGCAAATATCCTTCACCAGTAAAACAAGCAGATTTTTAAATATCTGTTTTTGAAATCTACTTGTCAAAAAGTCTTCAAAAGGCAGCTGAGAGGGGAACAGATTTTTCATTGTAATAGTGGAAGTTGTCTGATAGTTCAGATCTATCAGCATGCATTTTTAATTTTTTTCTTAGTTTTAAAGAGATGGCTTTTGGTAGTGTATTTTAAACAGAGAGAAAGGATTTACACCACTCACAAAATCTACTTTACTGTCAGCTTCAATCCACCTGAGAAAAAAAGAAAAATTGGTAATTTTAAATGCGTATAATTCACAAACATTACAAAGGAGAGCCACTTGTTTTCAGCAGTCCTAATGTTAACGGTCTGCCACAGAATGCAGTAAAAAGTATTGATTGGCAGAGGGTAACAGAGAAGTCATAGGCTTAATTTACAGACATGTGGCGCATAGGGCGTTTTAACCTAATACAATTTAATTTTCTGGATAACTCTTAAAAGAGAAGCCATTTCAATTATTTTGCTATTCCATATATTTTTGTCATCCAAAATATATTTCAACCCAAAATAATTCAAATAATGTATGTGTTTGTGTGTGCGCATATACACATATAATTGTTTCAATTAAAATTTTGAGGCTATAGCAGCCACTGTGCCTATTGTCTAAAGCCATATATATATATATACGTATATATATATATATATATATATATGGCTAATATATATGTGTATAAACACACACATATATGTAACAGGTATTCCTATAAAATATATACACTTTGTTGTCAACTGGTTATATGTGAAATTGTTCATTTTGAAATAACCTCAGGCCACAACTTTAGTCAGTTACTATTTGAAAGCCTTACTTAGCGTCCCGTTGGTGATGCATGCAGTAGCTCAAATTAAACCTTTGTGCATTGGGTTATGAATAATCTTTTGTTCCAAAGTAGACAAAAGCCTCAGTCTGATTTAACACCAAAGAATAAATGTCTCTGACTTTCCAAGTAAATCTAAACACATTCTAGTGACAGAATGGGTACGTAGGGGATTTTCTAAATACCATACATATTACACATTTTCACACTTATAGGGTAATCCTATGATACAATTTCAATCTCTACTTCAAAAGACTATCACCATTAAAGAGAAAAAAGAAAATGCGTAAGAAAAAGAAAATGGGAAAATAACCATAGGCTTGGGAATTCCGTCAAATCCAGGAAATTCCAGGTTAAGGCTTGAAGTTGAATCATTCCCAGGTCTAGCTCTAAAGTTCACAAGAGTACAAGGCAAACAATTTCTTTGGGGACAAGCAGCATTATTTTGATTAGACCTCCTCCTGCAGGGTAAAATCATTCCTTCCTACACTATGAATGGAATCCAAGTATCGTAACAAGCAGGTACACTCACAAGAACCAAAGCTGACATGGATAAGAGCAGCAGGATCACGGCACACCAAAGTATCATATATATTGAAGAAATAATTCAGTGTCTTAGATTTTTCTATAAAAATTTGTGATCTATATAGGACTTCATTCACATGGACACTAATAACAAGGAGTATTTGCTTTGGCGGAAGTGGATCACACATCTGCTTATCTTGCTTTTAATATTTTTTTTTACATAATGTTTCTGAGAATGCAGATGTGAGTCAGGTAGCATTTGAATTCCCCACATATACACAACTGAGGTGCCCCACAACTGGCATTCCCCTGGGATCCTTGATTCACGGATGTTAGCCATACGAATCCAGCGTCCAAACTCAGATTAATAAACTTAATTCCTGCATTATCAGTCAGCGTAAATGATAAATCCAGAAAATGTGCTGTATTTGTTGTTGTTTCCTCCATGGGCTTTCCCACCATCTAATTTGATGTAGACTTCGTCTCCTGGCTCCAAGTGAAGAACCACGCTGTTACTGGCATAGTCGTAATTCTGATCAGCATCCTGGGCGATTGCACTGGCACGCACCTACGTGAAACAGACAAGAATTAGAGTTCGTCAAAGAGAATCTTCAAGTTTTCTTTTAGGCCATTCACAGAGCAACAGAAGCTGACGTGCTGCCATAGCAGAGAACTGACACAGAAATGCCCACCTTGGCCTTGGAGCTTTATGCGGGTATCTTTGCAATCGTTTCAACTGTGATATTGGAAAGGAGAATGGAAAGGAGGAAAGGGTGCTTTTGTGAGGGTGATTCCGGCAGTCTTTCCTTACTTCGGGCTGTCAAAAGTGCATACCAATTTATTCTCTTCCTAAATCACTACTTTTTCTAATTCTTCTATCTCTAGGCCCAGTCACTTCTTGAAGTGGAAATAACAGTAGTTTCTAGCATTTTAATTTACCCAAATAGCAATGTTCTAACCTGCTGTTGATGAGCACATGAGTTCGATCCAAACTTCAGCTCTAGTCTTCACAATACTAGAACATGAGATCCACAGTAGATAAAGCGCCAGATAAATACCACACCTCTAACTCCTCTGAATAGGAAGAAAACAGGGAGAAACCATTTGATTTGGGGGCTTTCAAATTTTAATGCAAGTAAAGGCCCTTTTACCAGAAGCTTAACTCTTGTAAACATCTTTGGCTATCTCACCCAACTTTTCAGGCTTTTTTTCTTTTCTTTTTGTGCCCCTTTTATCGCTTAATTGTGATTTGTGAAATTAAACAAATTATTCAATTTCAACATATCTAAAATTATAGAAGGAACTAAAAGTCCATGATTTGAAGTCTCTCAAATTGCTAGAATTTTTGAATGGTCTCATTTCGGTGAATCCAAATGGATGCTTTGCTTGCTTATAAACAAATCCACTCATGTTGAGCCTGTGATCTCAGTGAGTTGATAGACATCTGCAAACAAATTGCCTATCATGTCAAGTAACATGGACGTTCTGTCACATCCTCAACTCACATTAGGCTTCATGTCCATTTAGCTAGATTTTGATTCTGCCTTGCAAAATTTTTTTCAATAGGCAGAATTGTATTTGATTTATTTCAATAAAACATCTACTCTGTGGCTTGTTTCTATTCCAGTATAATGATATTTTCCTGAATAACACAGCAAGTGATTTAGCGGTTTGTAAAACTGCACTATGTAATAATGCATGACTTGGGGTACAATATGCCAGAATTTATCACTTGACAAAATGAAGAAAGTGAGACATAAGTCAAGAATTTCCATGCATTTCTTTCAAAATGTAAATGATAGATTTTCAAATTAAATTTTCATGGGGTATGTTCTCACATTAATGCTGAAATGTTAAAAAAAAGAAGAAGGCTCTTTGACACTGCTGAACTTATAAAGTAATTTGAGTAGTATTTTAAATTTTCTCCTGACTATCATATAGCAAAAGGAGAAAAGGGCTTACAGGACTTAGAATTCCTTAACACTATGCTGACACTAATATAATAGCAATATACCACTCAATTATGCTCACAAGTACTGACTGGAATGTATACACCAATTTAGTGAGGTGACCTGTTTTGACCATTAAATAATAATACAACTTAATGTAATAATATTTCCTAGGAATTAATAATAAGTTTGTAGGAGTTGAGTGCTTTGATTTATTAATTTCATCTAATCATTAATTCCCAGGGGGAAAAAATCTACAAGGAGGATAACATGATTATGACCTGATCTTTATGTGTGGATTTTTAATGGATGAGAAAAATTAAAATAGAAAATAGTAATTAACCAGATTAGGAATATATTAATTATCAATCCCTAATATACTTCTCAGCTATTATTAATAACCAAACACAATTTATTTACTGCTTTAGGCATTTATAACATGCTCCATGGGTATTGTGCTTTAACACTGTTTTCTATATGAAGGCATTTGGGAACCGGGACTCATTAAAAATCACTTATTCAGAGATAATAATCTTAAAAATACGTATAATGCCACTTGTATTATACGTTATTATTCTGCAGGGTACAACCACAAACCCATGTCATTATCACCATTTTTATTCATGAGGGGTAACCACAAAAACCTGTCAATATATTAGTGTGACCCCACAGACTGGAAGTTACGCTTCTAGTTTCCGCTTCC